CATTCCCCCCCCCACCCCTTTCCGGATGTCTCTGGCTCTGCCCCTGTGCTTCAGAAAGAGTTATATGCAATGACAGTAAATCCACAATTGACGTCAGTGCCTTTTTAACATAGGTATAATGGACACATTAGATATGAAACCACCTGCTACAAATAAGAGGAAAGATATAATAGGCCAATTTTAGTACTCATGTCTACAAGATTTAACACAACATTAACAGTGACTGATACCATATTAATGTGTGGGAAAGGAATTGCATTCAGGGGTGGGGCTGATGGGCATTCCCAGAAAACTGGAACCCATCAAAGAACTCCCTTGCCTGCAATTCAATATTCTCGGTCTTATAGATAATAAAAATAACGACAAATTATAATGTTAATATAAACGTCTCTTCTTTTATTTATATTTTCTGGAAAAGACACAGGGTACACTATGTGCTATACACAAGGAACACAAAAACAATGACGATAAAGGATAATAATAAATATTATTAATATTAATACTAATAAAAATAGTAGTACAAAAATAATAATAACAATCATATTGGGCAGACATTTCAAGACAATAGCTAGGCCCTACCACATTTCTTCTTCATTTCTCACCATAAAATTGTTCAGGGGGATTTGAGGGTTGTTTATTAAAGGGAGATAATTATTCAAAGATTAAAATGGATGTATACAATATACCCAAATAAATGCATATTCCCCTTACTGGAATGGGCATTCTGGTGGAAATGGCATTCTGGTGAGGATGTATATTTGACGGGGTGTGTACTCAAAGGGGGCAGTTAAATTAAATAAATATCTTAATTGAATTGTCTGCCTCGTTAAACATAATGGTATACTCCCCCAAGAAGTTGCGTATATGTTCTACACAGTAGTAGGCTTTTGTTTTATGACCAAAGAGACAATGCAAAACTCCTAGAGGGGCACTATTAAATATTCAATAAGACCTTCATATTATTGATATTATTATAATAATATCATTAATATTGTAATACCGTACAGTGCACATCACCACTCTTGTATAATTATTGCTTGATCTACTGTACTACTATAGCACAGAATATAATAACTATTTAACTATGGGATAACATAAATGATTGTATGTTTCAATTTGTTGTAGGTTTTAATGTAAAGACTCTTCAAAGAGTTTGGAGGACTTCATTAATGATTGTCGATAGTCAAGAAGATTCTGCCATTCGTCTTTACTCTTTAGTAGCTCATTATTCTTGCTTGCTTCATAACAGAACTGTGGAGTCTTTAACTCATACCTGTAACAAAATAGTTGAAATGATAATAAAATTAATAGAGCAATAATAATTAAAATATAATAATTATTACAATTCAAATTATATTATTTTTATAATTAAGTAATAATAA